TCCCCCCGTCCGTGTTTTATCCCCCCGTCCGTGTTTTATCCCCTCGTCCGTGTTTTATCCCCCCCGTCCGTGTTTTATCCCCCCGTCCGTATCCGTGCCATCCGTATCCATGCCGTCCGTATCCGTGTTTTATCCCTACTCATTCCTTGGTATTGTCATTGATGAATGTTTGACCTGGAAAGATCATATAGCTAAGGAAACAAAGAAATTAATTACAGCTGCTGGTATAATAGCTAAAATACGACATTTCGTAAACCGAAATACTGTAAAACTAATATACTATGCATTAGTCTATCCATACTTGATTTATAGCAACCTAACATGGGGTAATACTTAAAAAACAGAATTAAAAAAATAATGAATATACAAAAAAAATAATGCGTCTAATGACATTCAAATCTTATTTTGACCACAGTGAGTCAATTTTCAAAGATTTAAATATCCCCAACATCTTCAAAATCAACGACTATATAACTGCCTTATTTATGTTTCGATACCACCATCTTAATAATTTACCAGAATATTTTAAAGATTATTTTGTGACAAATAACCAAATTCATCAATATAACACGAGAAATGCATCAAAACATCACAAATGTTATAAAAGAACAAATTATGTAGAACACTCTCTCTCATGACTCTCAAATAAAGCATTAAAGGAGTTGACGTATGGAATTCGTTAGAAACAAAATTTATAGATATAATTCCTACAGCACTTTCATGCAAAAAGCAAATTAAACAACATTTTTTGCTTTTCAATGTATAAGACATGCTATAAAATATTCTGCTATACGAATACGATTAGTATATTGTAGTCTAATTCTTATTAAAAAACTCATTAATAATTCATGAAGAAAACACAACATAAGCGTGTCGTATCTGTATATGTGATACAGATTCATGTTGATTTACATAAACTTTAACTTTGATTTTCTCGGCTTAGACAACGTTTATTTTTAAAATTACTTCGCCAATGAACTCATAAGATGAGTCGTTTTTTAAGCCATTTACAACATTCGCGTCCGTGTTGTATCGGATATACAAACTCTCGCCTTCGGCTCGAGTCTGTATATCCGATACAACACGGCCGCTCATGTTGTAAATAGTACTAAGAACCCAAATGCATCTACAACATTAGTATTCAGTTCTATAATAAGAACAATTTCTCTTCTTTTTCTTTCTTGTAAATACATATATATTTTTTTTAAATATTGTAGTGACTGACTGTAAATAATTTATTACATAATATAATACAAACTAGCATAACTCCTGAATATAAAGTCTACGAAGATTTCTAGTAGGTCTCTATAGCCCGCACTTATTGTAAATATACCACGTATAAATTTATAATTGTACATGGGGAAAATTTTAAAAATAAAATAAATAAATAAATAAAAAATTAAGAAAAAATACTGTAAAGTAAATGGATATTTGATAGGCCATTTCATGCTAATTTTTGGCATTTTTAAAAATGGTAGTTCAACTTTAAAACATCAACAGCGCAGTCAATATTAAGTTGGTCCTTTCGGAATACCATGAAACTTATTTCAGTGGAATATCTTTAGTGAATATCTTTATCTTTATCTTTAGTGTTTACGTTACAGGAAATCAAACAGTGTATAGTTTTTTTGGGACACCCGGTATATCCCCACGTACATTTGGTGTCTTAATCATGGCGAACTTCTATTGTCCAACATTGTTAAACTGGCTTCATTTTCGGGTAGCCTCGCAGTAGCTCGGAAGAGCGATTTTCATTGGCTCGATTTGACAATTCCTTTTGTGTTTACAACAATGAATTGCTTCGTTCTTTAGAAAACCCCCCATCCAATTGGAGACGACCTTCCGAGGCACTGCGAGGCTTCCCTCATTTTCTGCAACAGTGAGTTGCCCTATTCAGTGCAATTATGAGATCAAGGTTCAATAATCATGCACAAATGAGAGACAAAATATTACATGCACACAACACAAAAACTACAAGATTATGAAAGTTTTATTTTGGACATACCAGCTCCTGCACAGCTCGTCGTCGTCTTTGACTTTTTTCGTCGTTCTACAACATTGAAAGATTAAAAATAGAATATTTATATTTAGCATACACTCGTGAGGTGGAATAGTGCTTTTCGCGCAATTTGATTGGTTGCTCAGCTCTGGATATCCTTGTACTATTCACCTCCCGACAAAAACAAAATGGCTTCCCGTTCCGTTCCAGTTACAGACGAGCAAATGTTTGTACTAAACGAAGTTACTGTTTCGCTAAACACGAAGTTTTGTTTAACAGTGTGCAGATGTATTCTTCAAAGCTATTTCTAATGACTAAAAAAAATTACCGAAAGCGTGTAAATACTGTTTTGTTTACAACTATTACGGGAGCTGAAATACAAATTGTTTTAAAAATATTTTCGTGTCTTTTTGGTGATTCTTGTTTTGTTCTGGTATATGGTAAAACAATACACCCTTTCAATAATTACGTCATTTGGCCTGGGAGCCTCGCTCTCACGAATCGTGAGCCAATCACCTTGCGTAATTTACTAATGAGAGCGAGGCTCCAAGACCAAAAAGTATGTATGACGTAATTATCGAAAGGGTGTATTATTCACCTCAGTATCGGTGAATAGTGCAACGGTATTCAGCGGTCGGTAAATATCCGTGCACTATTCACTTACACTTCAGGGAATAATTGTTAAATAAAGCCACGATCTTTCTCATCAGCAGAACCACAATATTTTAGAACTGAAAATACGCGGAGTGATTATAACTAGAGAATAGTGTGACAGATTACGCAACATTACTTTTAAATTTATTTGTTATCGTAACACTTCATGTAATAATTAATAATATTAGAAATATATCAAGTTTCAAACATGGCGCCCAACGTCACGGCAACGCGTCTTTAGTTTTTTTTTCTGTGCTGGTGTTGTGTACTCAGGTGAATAATATGTTTGTGATGTTACTCTGAGTGCATATCCACACCGGGCGAGCTTGAAAAACATGCCCGGCCACGGTGGGATTCGAACCTACGACCTTTGGAATACTAGCCCAATGCTCTTCCAACTGAGCTACGCGGTCAGGACGGTTCGAGTAAGTGATATTTCGGAACAGTATCTAGTTCCTTCAATACCAATGTGTTCTTGTAATATGAATTTTTTTCTGTGCAGGTGAATAATATGTTTGTGATGTTACTCTGAGTGCATATCCACACCGGGCGAGCTTGAAAAACATGCCCGGCCACGGTGGGATTGGAACCTACGACCTTTGGAATGCGTCTTTAGTTTATCGAAAAAGTTACGTTTTAGCGCTATGACCGATCAATTAGAAAGGAAAAAGGCTACCCGTCGTGGGAACAGAGCAGTTATAACGAAATACAGTAACGAAGCGAAGGAATTATTGGCAAATGGAGAAAATATCGACGAAAATACGAAGGATCGTTTAAACACGTTGCACGATCTTCTTGAGGAAAAATTACAAGTAGTAAAGAAATTCGACGAAGAAATCTTACAATTGTGCGAAGTTAAAGAAATAGAAAACGAGATTGAAGTATCCGAGGAATTAAATTTACGAGTTCTTGATGTTAAAAGACAAATATCCTAATTTTTTTGCGAAGAAAATCGACGATACGGGAAAAGTACCTATTCACGATATATCTATACCTGGTCAAAATACCCCGCAAGCAGAAATAACAGAGGTAGGTGAAATTTGCTCTGAAATTAATGTCAATAATGAAACAATAAACGAACAGGACAATGTTAATTCAACCCAAGATCCTACACAAAGTAACCCAACCTTAATTCACCCAGACCCTAGTAGTCCAGCAGCCAGTAGTCAATCAAGTGGAAATTACGTCATAGGTTATGGTGGAAAAACGAAGCTTCCAAAGTTAACTTTACCCCGGTTCAGAGGAGATATTACTGAATTTCAACCATTTTGGGATAGTTTTGAAAATGCTGTCCATAAGAATACAAGTTTGTCAAGCATTGACAAATTTAATTACTTATATTCCTTGTTGGAGGGTTCAGCATTACTGGTTATTAAGGGGTTGGCTTTGACGGCAGAAAACTAAAAAGTTGCAATAGATATTCTCAAAGAACGTTATGGAAATAGACAAATTGTCATATCCGCCCACATGGATGAAATGTTAAAACTTCCCGATTGTTCGACTGGAAAGGTACGCGATCTTCGAAGAGTGTATGATAAAATTAATGTTAATGTAAGAGGGCTTGAGGCCCTTGGAGTAAAATCGGAACAGTATGGTAGTCTACTTATTCCAATCATCATGTCAAAACTACCACCTGAGTTACGAATCCATGTTGCAAGAAAGACTGCCAGTGAACTTTGGAAAATTGATGATATTCTGGAAATTATTCGAAAGGAAGTGGAAGCACGGGAGATCAGTGAGAGTGTTCGTACAAGCAATTCTAGTTACACTGGCCTGTAGGCCAAGTGTCTTAAATCCCTCTTTTTCTGTTTTTTCTGCTGTTTTTTTCGTAGTCGAGAAATCAAGTTTGCGTTAGCTCATCGCAGGCTCAGGGTGCAACGACTAAGCCAAAATGCCATCGATCCCCTCGGTTCCATGATTTACATAGTATAGTAATAAGTCCGTATTTATGTACGTAATAGCCAACTCATGCCATGCTTGTGGTGCATTTTTCGTTTATTAGCCCACACACTTGTACGCACGCGCACAATTCCGAACTCCAATGGCGGCTTTTCACAGAGTGATCAAACTATATTTTACACAGTTTAGTTGAATTTTCAAAGAATTGCGCCGGTTTCCTATGGATTTTACGTTGTGTCGTACTCTGGACTTTCTTGCGTGTTGAATTAATGTGTTTTTCTTTGTGTAACGACTCGAAAACCACAAAATTTAGACCCAGCGAATTTATACAATATATAGAAGGATATTTAAACAAGGACAAGTTAAAGGTTTGACAGTTTGACTTTTTAATAAACAACTATAAATATACGTCGTGGACTCATAACATCCGTTGTGTACTTGTGTTAATTTTTGCGTCGCACTCTGGACTTTCTTGCCTGTTGAATTAATGTTTTTCTTTTTGTATTAAATTAAACGACTCGAAAACCCCAAAATTTCATAAATTTGTACCCAGCAAATTTATACAATATATTGGAATATAAACAAGGACAAACTCTCCAAATTCCTTACGATAGTTTTAGTCAAATGTCGACAATATACCTTTAAATACATGTATTAAAATCCGCGCAGTACTAGAATTAAGAGAATTAGCGTAGCGCTGGCCGCTGGGTGCGGAAATTTTAGTACTGCGCGAAATATAATCCGCGCGAAAAGCTTTGTGGTAGCTATACTAAAGATAAAGCGTGCTTTCAAAATACCAACAAGAACTAGAACCATTATTGTATGGTTCTCATTTGCTAGACTTGCCACAAGTCGACCTCGAAGAAACGCATTTCGTTCGAGGTCGACTTGTGGCAAGTCTACTCATTTGCCTAATACAATAACATTAGTTCGACGCGAATTTTAATACAAGTATGGTATCATATTTCATAATATAACAAACAATGTAAACGTACTAGCCATACATTTTGCCGAACATACTTCGGCCCCTTTGGACATATCTTTTTCGTAATGATATTATTGGAACCAGAATCGAAAACACTATTTATAGTGTTATTTTCAAGCTTGTGTCTTGAGATTGTCATCTTTTATTTCGGTATTTACAGAATATTTATATTTTTAGCGCGGCCCATGGAACGCACATCAAAACAACGCGCTGTTTATTAAAAACCGGAAATCGATTCTGTAGGTCGGCATGATTTGCACGTGCATTGATCGAGCTATACGTGCGTGCGTGCGAGTAAAAACCCGATATTCTGAAAAATTCAAAATAAATATTCCTACTCTGTGCCGTTCAGAACAATATGTTTCCCGAAGAAGTTAAACAATTAATTAATCGCACGAAAACTTCCAGCTCAAGGCTTTTTTCTCTCAATAACGCCTTAGTCTTCTATTCCTTGGTGTCCGACATGTCCGAGTTGCGTCGCCCTTTAGAAGAAGGTCTCCTGCTTTCGTTGATGTTAGTTCTTCCGCGCACATTTGATAAGCTTTCAGTTCCACATCCTTCTCCTCCCATTTCCCCGATTTCACGCATTCTAAAACTTTCTTTAGAATGGTGTCTGACAAGGTGGCTTCCTTGATTTCTTGAAGTGTCATTGACTTCGGTACAGCATTGTTAATGATGTAGTTCACATAATTATCTGCAATCTTTTCTTCGATTGTAGTTTTTCGTTGAATGGTGGTAGGATGACGACTCAGGTAATCAGCTTCATTAACTGTTCCTTTCTTGTAAATCACACGGAAGTTAAACGGGTGCAGTCGTAGCATCCAGCGTTCAATACGATCTGGGGGTTTTGATCTTGGATTATTGAAGATTGCTTCTAGAGCTTTGTGGTTAGTATAAACATCGAATTCAGTACCCAGAAGAAACAGTCGGAAATGTTCTATCCCCCACACTAGGCTCAACCCTTCGATGTCAGTCTGTGAATATCGACTTTCGACTGGAGACAGGGCTCTACTGGCATAGGAGATAATGCGATACGACTCTCCTGACTTCTCACGTTGTGCTAAAATAGCACAAATTCCGAGAGGGGATCCATCAACAATAAGCAAGCTTCTCTTCTCGGTATCAAAGTATGCCATGGTAGGGGCGTGTGTCAGTTTCTTTTTAATCTGCTCAAAGGCTCTTTAGTGGGTGTGGTTCCAAGTGAAAGCAACACTTTTCTTTGTGAGATCCCGCAATGGTGTAGTAATTACGGCGTACTCTGGAACATACTCACGACACGTGTTCGCCAAACCCAAGAAGCTACGTACTTCGCTGGCATTCTTTGGAGTGCTGACTTTAACTAAGTTGTCAATTCTTGCTGGATCTGGTTTTGTTCCATTTGCCGTAAAAATTAAACCGTAGAAATTAATCTCGTTGCGCAGGGAACTACACTTCTCAGGTTTCGCTTTTAAGTGGAGTTGAGCTAGTCGTTTCAAACAGTTCTCTAATGATTCGTCATGTTGCTTTCGCGTTTT